TTGCAAGAATCCTTTTCTCCATCTTTCTCTCAGCAGTACTATAGATCACCTACAGCAAATTATCTACAGGCATGGATATGATTAACAGAACAGACAGAAACTGTTCAACGTGCACCACCATCAATCCAAAACCAAGTTTATTCCAACCTCAATCATTGAGCTTCAGTATGCCAATGATAATTCCACATGTACTCATTCAGAAACTGAGCTCTAGGCCATTATTAATCTTTCCACCGAAGCATATGCGAAAATTAGCCTTTCATTAAACATCAGGAAAGGTAAGGTAATTCCCAGCCAGCTCCCACAGGACAACCACCTTCCTCCCCCCCACTCCCCCACAAAACCCCCATTCCCCAAACGGTTAAGACCAAAAGTTAGATCTTCAAAACTCTGAACCATTTCCAATAGTTTGAAAGGTTCTTTTTAATGAAGGGAGACCTAGGTAAAATTTAACACCATCTCCCACATGCCAGATCAGCCTTTAAGAGACTGATGGAAAGTGTATTTGAGGATCTGGATCTCAAAGCTGAGCGTGAGGGCATTGTTTACCATGCAGCAGTGATCCCTTGTGCTCCTATGTATTTCAGTCACTTGGATGACCTATGCTAGGCACATAAAGCACTGGAGAAATGCCAGCATTGTTGCCTTTGCAAAACACTCCAAATCTGGTAGCACAAAAGGTGATCCACCAGTAATGTCCTCTCCCAAGGCAGTGTGCTCAGAGGTGTTAATCATTCAGACCCAGATCCTCAGTATGTCTGACACCAAACTGTTCCCAAACCAAATACTCAGGAAGGCATTGAACACACTGGAGAGACATCACTGGGAATACACAGAAGTGAGGTCAAGGTGTTAGAGAAATGCAGAAACCTCCAGATACTTCTTCTACCTGACCATTCAAACAAAAGCTGCCCACATCTGGCAGAGTCTGTAGACCATGCACTGGAGTTGATCGCCAACTCGAAACTCCCAGAATTGGAGAGGAAGCAAGTCATGCACTTCATCTCGAGAAACTGTCTGGGAAGAAGAGTTGCATGAGACACCAAGAATGGAATTATTGAGCAATCAAAACAGTTAGTTTACATCAGTCAGTCACAATAGACACAGAATCTGACCCATGGTAGAGAATCTTGGGAAGCATACATACAAAATTACTTTTGTTTACCATATGCCATACAAGCCAGATGTCAGATCTCAAATTACCTGTACTCCTATATCCTGAAAGAGAACTTCATTTGCATTTGAATGATATATGACAGTGACACAATGACCACCTGACACAGACAGCTGCAGGATGTGTTCAGGTGTATAAGCTGCATCTTGGTACTGCCTCAAGAAAAAAAGGCATGGAAAAAGGGTGGGGAGCTTGGTGTAAAAAGAGGGATTGCAAAGGTTAATGAAAGTCTGGGACTTGGACTCTCCCGGGACTGATGGCAGACCTTTGTTACGATTAATAAATGGGTTTGTTTACGTAACAGCATATTTAGGTCACTTGGCTATTCAAGCCTTAATCCATCAGCCAATTTGAATGCAGCTCATTTGTATCCCCATCTTTCTTTGATCCTTAACCCTTGATAGCTATGCCCTACTAAAATTGAGCTGTCTCAATCTTGAAAGCACCAATTGTCCTCCAGGATCCACAGCTTTTTAGGACAGCCACTGATTTTCACTGTTCTTTCTATTAAGAATTGAATCCTGATTCCCCTCAAATATCCTTGCTTGAATTCTAAAATTATTGCCCTAATTTTAAGACTTACCCAACAGAGGAAATAGTTATTACAGATTTATTCTATCACATCATTTCAATATTTTACATATATTAATTTGCTCTTGGCTCATTCTTTTGTACTCGAACACAAAAAGGTTGAGTTAATGATGTCTTCAGTAGCTTAACCCTTTCAGTGACATGATAATAGTATGAATCTGCACTGCATGACCTTCCTGAGGTCCTCAGAACTAAACACAGCAGTCCAAACTGAATCTGACCAATGTGATACAACGGAAGTGTTAACATTCACTCTTTTAATTCTAAACATAAGTATTTTATCAGTCCTTCCATGTACTTTTTGTTTCTTTGCAGTTCCTAGCTTCTCATCATTTGGAAAATATTGTGATTGGCACCACATGCACAAGCATCCACTTCCTCCCGACGCTCAGTAGTGGCAATGTATACGATCTACAAGATGCACTGCAGAAATTCACCAAGGCTCCTTAGACACAACCAAATCCATCTAAAAGGACAAGAACACCAGATACATGGGAACACCACCACCTGCAAATTCAGGTGGCCACTCACCATCCTGATTTGGAAATATTTCACTGTTCCTTCACTGTCACTGAATCAAAATTCCTGGAATTCCCTCCCTAGGGGCACTGTGGGTCAACCTACAGCACATGGACTGCAGCTGTTTAAGAAGGCAGCTCACCACCACTTTTTCAAAGGTAACTAGAGGTGGGAATAAATGCTGGCCAGCCAGCGATGTCCACATCCCACGAGTGAATAAAAAAAATTAACCTTTCTCTCAACCAAAGAGTTAATGATTCGTCTCCTTGCATTTGATGAGTGTCATGCACGTAGTAACCTGGTTTGTATACACTCTCTCCCTGCCTCTGTCTTCAGTCTTTCTCTCTGATCAGACTCTGCCTGGTTACAATGCTATTAAACAATGTCTTTGACGTGCCAGGTTAGTTCCCTGTGCTGGTGTATTTCTTGGCTTTATCTCTCTTCTCTCTCATTTCATTCTTCTAGGTGTCTGCCTACGATGGGAGTTGCAGCCGCCGGTACAGTAGCTCCAGCTCTCACGCAGTAAGGCCCAGTCTCTGTTTTTCCCTCAACCAGTCCCCTCTCACAGTCACTGTCTCTTGGAAGATCAGTTCCTAACATGGTGTCAGTGTACTCCTGAAGCCAGGCTAGTTAATCTGCACAGCAGAAACCCAGTTCTGACTTGGGAGTTTGCTTCATTGGTATGAGTGCCCTAGATTCTCGTGAATCTGATCCCCACCCCTCACCAGTGACAGTGCAAAGCATTGTCAAACAACCAAGACTGGACAGTCACCAGTACGACAGGAGCAGTGGAGTGTCTGCTTCAAATTTTACCTGTGTCCTCACCCCTCCCCATCTCTGTAACCTTGTCCAGCCATCCAGTTGTCCGACAGCTGTGTGCTCAGGCAATTCTTGTAGAACCTAGATTTTAATCACCCCATCACTGATGGCTGTGTTTTCAGTTGCTTGGACCCTCGGTTGTTGAATTCTGTCCCTAAATCTCTCTGCCAACAAAGGTGTTGTTAATGGTTATTGAAGAGGCTGGAGCCTCACTTTGGGCTCTGGTTGGGTCCAGGTCAGGCTTGTTTATGTTTGCTGCCCAGGACCACAATACCCAAGCTATCACATACACAGCTCACCTGGCTTTCCTGCTGGGGTCAGGCCAATCCAAAATTGGGTCCCAAGAGAGCAGCAGGTTTATGGTGAAGAGGGTCCAGGGAGAGCTGGCTTCAAGACATTGCGTTATGAAGCTCTCTTCATTAAAGTAACAATGATTGAAGGACATTGCATGCTGTAAACTCAATAACATATTTGTACCATTTGTCTAATGTACACTTTCTCTATCTCTCTCCCTTTCTTCGCTCATCAAGCTTTCAGAACATAACTGCTTTCTTGGCTCTGGCTCCCGTACATCATCTCGTGCGAGCTCAGCTCGTGCCAGTCCAGTGGTGAGGAACTCGTAGCTTGTTCTGTACTGCTTTTGAATGCAAAACCAGCATTCCTGGTTTTTCACTCTCCTGCTTGTCACTTTATTCCGTCTTCTTCCTCTTGCTCCCCATTCATCTCCCATACGAGACCTTCCTCACTGCCCCATTGCCCCCCTTCCTCTCCCTCCTAACCTTTTTCCTCCCTGGGGTGCAGTACAGGTGGAAATAGGTCTGTCACAATATAACACAGGTACAGTACTGGTGGGGCAGGTTGTACACTGTCTAATACTGGGGTACAGTACTGGTGGTATGGATCTGTCACACAATAATATTGATATACAATACTGACTAACACAGGTATATCGCTGCATAACAAGGGTACAGTACTGGTAGATACAGGGCTGTGCAATCAAATATGGGTACAGTATTGACTGGTATACATCAGTAATATATAATTGTAATATATAACTATATAACTATACATTGGGGGAGAGCACTGGTGGTTACAGTTCTGTCACTGTACGTCATGGATGCACTACTGGTGGGTTTGGGACTGTACTTATAAAACGGGTGCAGTGCCGGTGGTGTCAGATCTGCATTGTATAACACTGGGATAGTGTACTGGTGGGGACAGATCTGCCAATGTATTTTACTGGTCTAATAATGTTGGGGACAAGAATGTTGCCATATTATCCTGGAGTAGATGACTGGTGGGGACAGGTCTGATCTTGTATAATACTGGGGTACGGTACAGATGGGTATGGGTCTGTCACTGTACAACGACAGGATTTAGAACTGGTGTGGACAGTCTGTCACTTGGATATAGTATTGGTGGAGACAGAATGCCATTGTCTAACACTGGGTACGGTACTGGTGGGGGCAGATCACTGTATACCACAGGAATACAATATTGATGAATACAGGTCTGTCACCAGTGGTGGGCATAATTGAATTTTATATATATTATGTATATATATAAAATAAGCATGAATTATATTTACTTATTTGTTTTGAAAGCATATGTTCCTTAGTATCAGTGGCCACATTGCATATAAATTCAGAGTTATATTTGCAGTGTTTTGTGCTTCTGACAGCCTCACAGAACTGAGGTCTGTTCCACAGATAGTGATTGACACTGGTTTATTCTCTCACGGCCAGTCATTCTAACTGGCTGATGTCAACCAGTAGCTACCGGCTCTCACTGGATACAATTCCAGGTGCACTGATCCTTGTTGTGTTATCCTCACTTGGCACTTGAGAAAGGAATGACAGTTCGGATACTACTTTCTCTTTCTCTCTTTCCTATGTAGGTGGAGGAAAGGCTGGAGAAGGATTTTACAGAGAAGGTACGTACCTCCCCACAAGCAACTAATGGAGCGGTAAAGATTACTGCCCTTGTGTGTCTGTCATCCCCTAGACTTCAGGAACCATTCACTTATAATCACAGTCTCCACACAGATCACTTGCAATTCTGTTGGGATTGAAAGGCTGCTCGATAACACCAGAATACCCCAGACAGCTGAATGACAAGCTATCTGACAGTTCCATGCTTTTATTCGGGTGCTGAGACTGAAATCTCAAGGATGTTTAGCCAATCACATCCACAATGGTCAAAAGCAAACAGCCAACTATTCTAATCCATTTTCCAGCACTTGGCCCAGAGTCTTGTATGCCTTGGCATTGCAAGTGCACAGTTAAACACTTCTTGATGTTATAAGGATCTCTGCCTCTACCACCCAAATGTCCAGATTCTCACCACTTCTGGGTGAAAAAGTATTTCCTCCTATCTCCAAATCTTCTGCCATTTAAAGTAAATCTTTGCCCCCTGGTTATTGATCCTTCCATTGAGGGGAATAGTTTACTCTTAAATAAAAAAAAAAGAACTGCGGATGCTGTAAATCAGGAACAAAAACAAAGTTGCTGGAAAAGCTCAGCAGGTCTGGCAACATCTGTGAAAGAAAAAACACAGTTAACGTTTCGGTTCCAGTGATCCTTCCTCGGAACCAGTTCTGAGGAAGGGTCACCGGACCCGAAGCATTAACTCTGAATAGTTTATTCCTGTCTATCCTATCTATGTCCCTCATACTTTTATACATCTCAGTCATGTCCCCTCTCAATCTCCTCTGCTCTAAGGAAAACGTCAGTCTGTCCAACCTCCGTAATTGAAACACTCCAGTTCAGGCAATAGCCTTGTAAGCCTCCAGTCACTATCACCAATGCTATCACATCCCTTCTATGATTCGGGTTTCAGAACTGCACACAAGCTGTAGCCTAACCAATGTTTTATACAGTTCCAACATAATCTCCCTACTCCAAAAATTTATGCCTCGATGAATAAATGCAAGTATCCCATATGCTTAGCCACTTTATCCACCTGTCCTGATACCTTTAGGAACCGGTGTACTTGCACACCAAGGTCCCTTTGATCCTTGGTGCTTTCCAGTGTGCTACCGTTCATCATGTATTCACTTGCGTTGTTTGTCCTGCCCAAGTCCATCACCAAACATTTTGATTTGCCACTATCAGCCCATCTGACCAGCTCGTCTATATCCTCTTGCAGTCTAAGGCTCTCTTCCTCGTTATTTACCAAACCACACATGTTTGTATCATCTGAAAACTTACTTATCAACTCTCCTACCTTCATGTCTAAATCATTTGTATAAACCACAACAGTAAGGGCTCCACTAGACACTAGCTTCCGTTTAGAGAAATACCCCTCAACCATCACTCTTTGCTTCCTGCCACACAGCTAATTGTGGATCCAATTTGCCAAATTTCCTTGGATCCCACAGGGTCTTACCATTTGCCATCAATCCCTCATGCGGGATATTATCAAAAGCCTTGCTAAAGTCCTAGCAGATTGCATCAAAAGCACTGCTCTCATCTATACGACATGTCACCTCTTCAAAAAATTCCGTCAAGTTGGTGAGACATGTCCTCCACTTAACAAAACCATGCTGACTGTTCTTGCTAAATCCTTGCTTCTCCAAATGCAGATTAATTCTGTCCCTCAGAGTTTCTTCCAATAGTTTCCCTCCCATTGAGGTTAGAATGACTGGCTTATAGTTTCCTGGTTTATCCCTTGCATCCTTCTTGAATAATGACAATACAGTGGATGTCCTCTAGTCCTCTGTGGCCAGACAGGAATTGAAAATTATTGCAAATGCCCCTGCTATTTCGTCCCTTACCTTGATAAACAATCTGGGATACATTTCGTCTGGCCCTGGAGATTTATCTACTTTTAATCTTGCCAGACCATTTAGAACCTTGTTTTACCTTCAAGCATTTTGTCTATTTTATGCTCATCAGTCAGGAATCATTTTCCATATGGCCCTCCCATGTCAGCATCAAGCCAGGGTTCAATGGACAGTGCAAGAGGGATGCCAGGAGCAGCAATGGCATACCTAAAAATAAGGTGTCATCCTGGTGATGCTCCCAAATAGGACTAATTGCATGCCAAACAGCATAAGCAACAAGTGATAAATAGAGCTAAGCCACTCTACTGTGAACAGATCAGATCTAAGCTCTGCAGTCCTGCCACATCCAATTGTGAACGGTGGTGGACGATTAAACAACTCACTGAAGGAGGAGGCTCCACAAGTGTACCCATCTTCAAAGATCGGGGAGCCCAGCACATCAGTACAAAAGATAAGGCTGAAATACTCGTAGCAATTTTCTGCAATAAGTGCCGAATGGATGATCTATCTTGGGCTCCTCTAGTAGTCCCCAAGATCACAGATTCAGTCTTCAGTCAATTTGATTCACTCAATGTGATATCAAGAAATGGTTGCAGGCACTAGATACTGCAAAGGCTATGGATGGTGACAACATTCTGGCAATAATACCTTCGACTTGTGCTCCAGAACTTTCTGCACCCTTGGCCAAATTTGTCCAGTATAGTTACAACATTAGCATGTACCCAACAATGTGAAAAATTGCCCAGGGATGTCCTGTACACACAAAGCAGGACAAATCCAACACAGCCAATTACCACCCCCTTCAGTCTACTCTGATCATAGGCAAAGTGATGGCAGGTGTCATCAATAACACTATCAAGCAGCACTTGCTCAGCAATAAGCTGCTCACTGACACCCAGGTCGGGTTTTGCCAGAGCCACTCATCTCCTGACATTATTACGGCTTTGGTTCAAACATGGTCAAAAGCACTGTATTCCAGAGATGAGGTGAGAGTGACAGTCTTTGACAACAAGGTTGCATTTGACCAAGAGTGGCATCAAGGAATCCTGACAAAAATGGAATCAGTGGGTACTGGGGGCAAATGCTCTGCTGATTGGAGTCAAACCTGGCATATAGGAAGATAGTTATGGTTATTGGAGGTCAGTCATCTCCGTTCCAGGACACCTCTGAAGGAGCTCCTCAGGGTAGTGTTCGATGTCAGACCATCTTTAGCTGTTTCATCCATGACTTCCTTCCATCATAAGGTGAGCAGTGGGATGCTCGCCAATGATTACATAATGCTCAGCACTATTTGCGACTCCTCAGATACTGAAGCAGTCCATGTTCAAGTGTAACAAAATCGGACAAGATCCAGGCTTGGGCTGATAAGTAGCAAGTAACATTTACACCACACAAATGCCAAGTGATGACCAGCTCCAATAACAGACAATGTAACCAGTGGCCCTTGACATTCAATGGTGTTTCTATCACTGATTCCCCCACGATCAACATCCTGGGGGTTATCATTGACCAGAAACTCAACTGAACTCACCACATAAACACAGTCGCATCAAGGGCAGGTCAGATGCGAGTAACTGACTTCCTGATTCCCCAAAGCTTTTCCATCATTTACAAGGAGTGTGATGGAATATTACCCCACTTGCCTGGATGAGTGCAGCTCCAACAACACTTCAGAAGCTTGACACCATTCAGGACAAAGCAGCCCACTTGATTGGCACTAAATCTACAAGCACCCACTTCCCCCACCACTGATGCTCAGTAGCAGCATGTGTACTATCTGCAAGATGCACTGCAAAAATTCACCAAAGGTCCTTATCAACACCCTCCATACCCAAAACCACTTCCATCTAGAAGGAGAGATAGTAGGAACTGCAGATGCTGGAGAATCCGAGACAACAAGGT